CAGCCAGTATCTTCTGCCTAGACTGTCTTTTCTCCATCTTTTTTTGGGGGGGGGCGGGTAACTCCTACTCATCCTAAAAAATCTTAGCACAGATGCTTTTCAAAAAAGCAAGCTCTAATAATTTCTCATTTTTGACTCAAATCTGGGCTAGGTGAGAATACCACATGGTCTTGTTGTAACCTTTGCCTAATTCTGATGACATTTGATGTGCTAAGTGTTCATTGCTTTGTCTTTTTAATAACGTGTGTGTGTGTGTGTGTGTGTGTGTGTGTGTGTGTGTGTGCATGCATGTGGGTGTTGTCTTCAAAATTCATAGGACAACCCTGAAGTAAAGCTCCAGCATGACCTCTGTGAGGTGAGGTACAAGTCATTTGGAAAAGAATCACCTTTTCAGGGCATTCTTATCTAGTTCAGCCCTCCTGAGAGGCAGAGAGACATCCCCAGCAGCTAGACAGAATTTGTTGCATCTTAGTGACGGTGATGTGTTGGATAATGATAGGGACAACAGAAACAGGAGTGGAGAGCTCTATTCAGTAGTGAGTCGACGCTTAACAGTTGTGAGCAGGGACTCAATACTGCCTAAGGAAAGAAGGAGGGATTACATAGCTCACACTGAATCTTGAATAGGTCATAGAGATTACAAAGAATAGGTGCTGCTGGCAAAAATGCCCCCCAATCACCTTCCAACACCAGATGGAAACACAAGAAATCTCCATATGAGGCATTGGGAAACATATCGAAAAGGTCACCTCCAGGGTAAAGGGTGACACAGCTGTCCCTAGGTTCTAAGAGTTCTTAGCTATCTAAGAGCTCTTCTCTCTGACAGGGCTAGCTTGATTCTGTTCACAGGGTCCACATTGGCGTGAATGAGGGAGATATATGCAAGAACTATTAGTAGGTTCCATGTCCGCAGGAGTACCATTGCCCATAGGAGGGCCCACATCATAGAATAGATTCAATTCCTGATTTCCCTAGTTCCAGACCGATTCTAACACATTCTGTCAACACCAAATTCTGTGCATGAGTGACCATGCCAACACATCCCACAGCGTTCATTTAATCGAAATTTGAGAAAAGGTGAAACTATCTTTCAGGCTTACTTTATTTCTGCCAATTTTCATTTCATAACAGTGTGTATTTAGAAGATGCATGTCCTTCACTTTCCAAATTCTTCTTAGCCTTTGTGGCAGACCTTGTGGGCTCTCTACAGGTGGTTCCATTTGTCATCTCTTTGACACAGCAAGACGATCATAATTAATGAAGCTCCCTACAGCACTGCCAATGACCCAGAATAGAGGACAGGAGGGGCAGTGAAGTGAAGCAGGGGGAACAATGGGCCGAAGGCCAGGAGACCTGGATGTCACTCACAGTCGGCTGCCACAGAACAAGGCTAGCTTGCTCTTCTTGGGTGCGCCTCTTTTTCACTAGTCTCAAATTACAAAGACAGGAAAGAAAAGGTGTAAAAGGAAGGCATCACCATCAATCATTAAAATGCCTGCCCTTAGCAACCACGTTCTCTTCTTTTCCCTACTGAAAATCAAGTAAACATATGATGAGTTAAGTTTTGATTACATAGGAAGTTAAGAAGATTATGATTAAGTCTTTTATTACTGAAATAAACCCAGAACAGTTTTTGAATCAAGGAGCAAGATGGAGACTAGGGTAGAATGGAATCTGAGCTGACAAATGTTTTTAAGGTCAGGGTAGTCAGGGTTCCAGAAAGGAAAAATGAGGACCCAGGTTGGTACTTTCCTCTCTCTCTTTGTTTTCTGTTTCAAACATACAGGAAAATGGAAGAAAGAAAAAGGAAATAATAAGCCAGAAAGAAAACAGAGGGCTTCCTAAAATGGTTGCCAGTGAGCTTCATGTTTTGACAATAAAATTCTACTGAAAAGATCTGAAATAATTTCCCACACTTGACCCATACTATTTTTCTGCACAAATTAACCTAGACCTGTGTAATCACCAGAATTGAGACGCTTCTGAGATGGATCTTGGTCTACAGAGTTTGAATAAGCTGGTGATTGACTCATTAAAATGATAGCATATGAACCTATCAAAACAGCCCCCCAAGCTGGCGCCAGCCAGTGGCTCATGCACATAATCCATGTACTCAGGAGGCTGAGATCTGAGGATCACAGTTCAAAACTAGTCCAGGCAGGAATGTCCGTAAGACTCTTATCTCCAATTAACCAACAGAAAACCGGAAGTGGTGCTGTGGCTCAAGTGGTAGAGTACTCACCTTGAGCTGAAAAGCTGAGGGACAGCGCCCAGGCCCAGAGTTCAAGACCCATGACCAACAAAAATAAATCCTCCCCCTCCTCCTAGAGAGGCTCCCAGAGACCTGTTCTCCTTCCCTCAGCCTGTCTGGATCCTCTAGTCCATCCACACTACCCCTTCCCCACTGGTCAGCAGATTAAACATGTGCAGAGCAAAGATGGGCCTTTATATAAGGAAGGATTCCATTTCTCCCTCAATTGAAGTCTGAATTTCCAATAATCCTCAACCTCCAATTATATTTTTACTATTAAACCTTACAGAACCACTCTACTTCCTTCTCACTAATTCCAGGCATCTCTAACTTCTCATTGTCCAAATGGGTCTGGGTTTCATGACTTGGTATCAGTTATTTGCTTGACCAGTTCCTTTCCACTTGTATGCTTTTGTTCACATTGTCAATCTTTGTCATTATCGTTATACTTAGAAATGGATGTAGAATTCCAATTCTTTTTCTGTTTATTAAAATAATATAATTTATATTCTACTTGTTATGATTATAAAAATGATGGGGAATTTTTCTGCTTTTTCTTTAATTCATGGTTCAGAAACTGTAGGATGAATTATCAGTGGAAGTGGAGATGAGAATGTTTAAGATAATTTGTTACGATAAAAATATTTTAAAAAAAAGATAATTTGATTTAAAACAGAGGCTTCCTGGCATCTGTGAAATGAAGACTGGGGGATACTGAGCTAGCCGCACTAATAGGCAACTGAATGTAAGGTTCAACAAGAAGCCCGTGTGCTGGTGACTGGAGAGACATGTCAACTGTTTTGATAATGAGGACATGTACCACATGTAGAGCCCCAGAGGCCAATGGCTTCACCTAGGGCTCAAGGCTGACTGTACATGGACAGGACACAATCTTAGACACGGTGAGTAGTAAGCATAGACCATTGGGCAGTAAGTTGGGGTTCTCCTAAATAACAATGTTCTTAAGACTATAAAATAAGGAAATAACTATTTGCATTATTAAGGCTAAAACGGGACATGATATGTGAATAATGATAGTAGCAACAATGAAGTTTTGCTGTTAAGGCCGAGTGTGGACATTTGGCATATTTCTTCATTGTTCTTCATGACAACCCTGCAAACAGGTGCTATTGTCCCCTTTTCTTGAAGGAGGGCACTCAAATGTCTTGAGGTTGCTGAAGGAAACAATGGCAGAGCCAGCATTCCCAAGGCCCTTGGTCCTAAACCCCAACCCCACGATTGTTTCTGACCATGTTGGGGTGAGGGCATCCTGTCTTCAGTATAACACGCCTACTTCCTTTGCACTCAATAAGGCACTCCAGATGGCTCAAGCCAGTTGGCCTTGGAAGCCAGGTCCTTCAGGGGTATGTGGGGGTACCTGAGGTACTACGTGTCCTGTCTTCTACTCTCTGACCCCCACCCCTGTGCCCAGGAACCCCCCCCCCCCACTCCTCAGCCTCTTCTACTGGTGTTCTCACTTCCACCTCTCTACCTTCTGCCCAACTTCTTCTGAAGCCAAGAGGCACTTCAGCTCCTCTGCCAATTCCTCCCCCTCCCTCCTCCTCGCTCTGCTCCCAGGCAAGCAGCGCCCTGTACTCCCTCCCACCCAGGCTTTGCTCAGTGGAAGCGGGAGGCGTTTCTTTCTTGTCTCTAAAGATCCTTTCCCACTCTCTAGGTGCTACTTTCTGAAGTTGATGCTTCATCCATGGACGCGCTAGCCAAGGATGCTGTAGCCATGGATGCATAGTAAAGCTGTTTGTTATTCATGCTTCATATACATCCCTCAGGCCCAGCCCTGCAAAGCTAGGTCCAGACTTAACAAACATTATTGTTGGTACCAGGGGTTATTCTTCTAGTCCTAGGCTCTATTCTTTCTTTTTTTAATGAGTTTTTTTTTATTGTGAAAATACTGTACAGAGGGGTTACAGTTTACATGAGCAAGGGAATGAGTCCATTTCTTATCAAGCATTGTTGCCTCTTCCTTTGTTTTTCCCCTACCTACCGTGAATTACAATAGTTAACAAAAGCATAGAGAGTCCCTTTCCTCATTCTGGTGAATCTCGCCACTTCCAGTTCTGTGTCAGGTTTTATACTCCTAATATAGCTTTGGAGATGGAGTCCTGAGTTCAGGTTCCCACTCCTGTTGTTGTTTTTTTTTCTGGCTAAATTAACTAATCTCTTGAGTCTTTATGTCCTGAAAATTGGGAAATAGTAATAGTATTTCCCTCAAAGTTATTGTTAGAAACTATCAAGGGTTTAGGGGATGCAGTTCAGTGGTAGAGCAGTTGCCTATTTGTAGCTCCCTAGCAAGGACTAATAATTAAAAAAAATAATAAATATAATACAATGAATACAGGTAAAATATTTAGGATAGTGGCACATTGAAAGTTTTCAATATAGATCTTCCTTTGAAAATGTCCTGAATTCCTTCCTCTCTGCTGTAAACCACACTCTGGCCATGGTCAAGTTAGTTCGTTGTGTGGCCACCCCTGGTATAATGATTTCTACAGCATGTGATAGAAACATCTGGGGAGGGATCTGTTTCCAGGTCAGAGTATATCTCAGCCTCTTTCAGAGCAAAACCCTGTTCACTCAAGAGACTCTCATTATGACATTTTTTTAAAAAGGCAAATGACACTCAATATCATTTTCTATTTGTGGAAAATACTTGTTTTGCTTTCTAGGAAATAAGTCCCAAGTTTATCAGTTAAAAGCCTCCCCTGCTTCAAGGGGAAATGACAAGACTCACCTTGATTTTTCAGTGGTAAAGGCATAGTTTCCCTGAGTTTGCTTAAAAGGTTTTTCATTTCTCGCATGTCTCTGTAAAATTGATGAAAAAGAAAGAATAATCAGCTGTGAGATTTCAAAGTAAAATCTCAGTCTGTTTCATAAGACATCTGAAGGGCAAGCATCAGTGCCTAATTGTACTAGCTCTGGTTTCCAGTAGGCAGCGATAGAATTTATTTTGCTTTCACAAGTAAAATATCTGAGACAGACTGGCTTTAGAAGGAAGGGAAACTCCTTTGCCAAGCATTTAGACTGTGTATCTTCTGCAGGAGCTCTGAAGTGGCTGAGCTCAGAGAAATGACTCTGGTATTAAGGCTAGTACTTTCTCTTATCAGTAGAGACTAAGAACTGAACCCACCTACTCAAGGAAAGCGGAGTGCTGGAAAGATTATGGTTTGTACATGTTTCTCACAGTTGACTGGATCTAAAAGCTCCTCCTTACTATGGTCAGAATTCAGCAGGACACTAGTTAAGTATTCCTGAAGGTTTTACTAAATTAAATGATGGAACAGTAATCTATCTATCTGTCTATTTGTCTATCTATCTATGTATCTATCTATGTATCTACCTATTTATACATACATTATATACATTACATATTACATATACTTATATATATATGCATATATACCAGTACTCACCAAGCCTTATCCCTGTCCCTTGTTTTTGTGACAGGGCCTTGCTATGTAGCTCAGTCTAGCCTCAAACTACTGCCTTAGCCTACTGAGGTCTGGTATTAGAGGCATGTATTAGGCATGCCTGGAGGATGATCAATTCCAAAACCTCTGGAGAAAAGCTCTTCAGAATAGTGGCGAGTGTGGGAGGGACCACTTGAGGACTGCTGGATTCTCTTTAAGTCCCTTGCCTGTCCTTCTAAGCTCCCTCTCGCTCCTTTGCTCAGAGCACATCATGCCATTGTGGACCTGAAGCATCCACCTTCATCTCAGAGGTCATACAATTTTAAAACCCCAGCTCTGTAGAGCATTGTAGTCTAGGACAGGAGACATCTGTCCTGTTTAGACCCTTGGGATAGTAGTTTGCCCACATGTCTAAGTGGTTAAGCAGTGAAGACAGTGCTCTTGAACCCCCAGAACAAAGTAGTAGATTTTTGTCTAACACAGTAAAAGGTATCACATGTTGAAAAACTAAGAAATACATACTAATTATCTCCAGAATGAGGAAGAAATAGCACATAGCACAAGCTTAAGAATGAATTCAGGGAAGAAAAATTTGGAGAATTTCTACCAAGTTTTTTTTCTTTTTCTGGCATTTGAAGAAAGAGCTATCATTCAGTTTCAAGTATGAAAACTTCAGTCCATTTTGCAGTGTACTGCTGTTGTGCTGGGCATGACTTACAAGGCCACTGTTTTGGTGCAGGCGGGGAGGATGTCAGAGACATCAGAGAGCCTGCTCCTCAAGAATATTAAGGAACTCAAGTCTCAGGAAGTCCTGACTGGAGAAGGAAGGGAAAGTAGCCTCATAGTTCTGCAGAAATACCTTTGTACAACCTGTTTGGTAGTGTAAGATTGAGGAATGTCTATTAGCATCTTATACAGATGAGGTGAAATTAGAGGGATGGCAGGGAGGGAGGGAGCTTCCTCCCTGCAAGATGTCTGCTTTCAGATAAGATTTATAGGATAAGCAGGAGGGATGGGGAAGGATGGGAGGGGGGTTCTTCCTGAAGAGCACCAATTTTTCCGTAGATTGCCGCAAAGAAGTCACCTGTGTTTTCATCCTACTCCAGGAGGACTTCTGTTTTCAAAAGCTCTCCTAGTTGGGGCTAGGAAGGTGGCTCAGTGGTAGAGCGCTTGCCTTGCATGCCTGAGGCCCTAGGTTCAATTCCCAGCACCACATAAGCAAAAAGAAAAAAGCCAGAAGTGGTGCTCTGGCTCAAGTGGTAGAGCGCTAGCCTTGAGCTGAAGAGCTGAGGGACAGTGCCCAGGCCCAGAGTTCAGGCCCCATGACCGGACCCAAAAAACAAAACAAAACAAAAACAAAAACAAACAAACAAAAAAAAGCTCTCCTAGTCAGTTCAATGCACGGTACAATTACCACCCACTGACCTCAGGACAGAGAGCTCCAAGAAAAACTGAGGAGGTCTAAATCATTCAGGGTCTTTTGGGCTTGCTTTCCACAGGCTTTCTATCTCTTTGTCCAGAATCTGGACTTGAAATGGTGACCAGCCTGACCAGAATCGTTCTATTTTCTGGGATATCCTACTCTAGTTGTACTGCTGTCCAAGTTTGCTTTTTTAAAGCTTAGGAGGTTTTGATATAGCTGCAGTACAAGGTATCTGAAAAGGAAAAATGGCTTTGTGAATGGTTTCTCCTGTGGATATTACCCCCACACTCACCCTTGGGAAGGTACAGAAGAAATGTTTCAGTAATAATTTTAATAATTAAATATAAAACTCTTTCACCATTTGTCTGTCATCCTACCAATCTGAAACAAACAAGTTTTATCTTTTGAATTGTTGGATATCCAGGCTTTTACAAAAATCCTGGTGTTATTAATAGTACATAATTACCACATGCTCCAAATTTCCATAAACGCAGAAATTTGGTAATTAGCTTTAGAATTTATTAGAATATGAAAGTAGAGATGCCATTGTGTATTTCATTTCTAAAATTAAAAAAAAATAAAATGTTCATTATCTTGTCAATGACTCACCTTCCCCCCTCCCAATCCTCAGTGGAATTGTCTTGTATTTATTCAGCTGGTTTGTGCCAGCTCTGAGGACATTAGTAGCAAAGGGCAGTTATTGATGGGAAAGCCAGTAAACAAGGGCTTTATCTTTCAGTCCCTCAGACTGGCATTTTTAGCATCTAAATGGGACATAGATGGCACTTATTTTTGTATTGTTATTGCTACCTTTTCCTCGATGCAAGAGAATCACTATAGAATTTCAAATTTCCTAGAAAGAAACTTATTCCCTAGAAGTAAGCCAGCTGATGTTACAATAAGACATTAACCTGCTTTGATCATTAAGGGCCACTCTGAAGAGGAAGAGGATATAAGAGGAAATGATCTTTTTGAACTGGACAGAATGCTAAGCAAGGCTTTCCACATGTCTGAAATCAGAGCATCTATGGGAAGCATCGCCACATGATTTTATATTCTTTTCTCTTAATCAAATGGATATTTTAGGAACCAGTCTAGTGGGTGAGCTGTAACAGTAAGCAGGTTCACTTTTCTTCCTTCCAAGGAGGTATGCTACATTTCTATTTATTTTGAGATAGGATCTCACTATATAGCTCACAGTAGCCTAAAACTTGTGGCAGAAAGTGCCACAGCCTCCTGATTTCTGGGGTTACCATTGTGTGCTGCTATATCGGCATTCCTGCCTTGTTTTCATTTTTCATGGAATGTAGTATGCTATCCTGTACCTACTGGAGGTCTTGCTACAGTCTCCCTAGAGAATTTAGATTATGTACTCTCTATGATGGTTTGGATATAAAATGGCTCCTAAGGCTCATAGAATTATTAAGAAGTGATTGGAACATGAGGGCTTTGGCCTAATTAGAACATGAGGGCTTTGGCCTAATCAATGAATCAATCCATTTATAGGTTTATAATTTGATGGCATTATTGGGAGGTGGTGAATAAAACTAGGAGGTGGAAACTAGTGGGAAATAGGCCACCAAAGATGTTTGCTTGAGGGGTATTTATTATCTCTGGCCACTTCTGCTTTTGCTCTGCTTTTTTTGTTGCCATCAACTGAGCATCTTCACCACATGCTCCCTGCCCAGGTGTTGACTTGGCTCAAGAGTTAAAGCAATGGAATCAGCTGAACTTGGACTGAAACTTCTGCAACCATATTGTTTTTATGAGCTATTTTGTTAAAACAATGCAAAATGGATCAATACACCCACTCACTTATCAAGTTTTCTCATAGTCTTTGAGGTCCCTGCCAGGGCTATTCTTCTCTGCAGACCAAACCTTTTGTGTTTTCTGAACTTGAAGTAGAAAAATGCTCAACACTCCATAGCCACTAAGAAGATGAACTGGGGGAGGATTGGCAATCTATTCAGGGAAACTTCCCACTTACCTTTCAGTGTTCTCAATGTCTGTGGAAACCTGCCAGGAGTGCTGCTGAGTTTCCACGGGGGAGGGGGAGGAGTCCTCCAGGGCAGGTATTTCAGCACTCTCCTCAATTTTGCCATCCAAACTTTTTACTGTCCCACCAGCTTCCTTTCCTAAGACAGGATATTGTTGGGAGAGAGAAGGAGAGAAGAAATTGTAACTACAAATTGCAGACCCAGGATGTTACTGAAAATGTTGGCTATGCTTTGAGTCAAATGATATGTCAACAGCTTTGTTACAGTAATAAAATAATTGTGTGCATAGTATGTATGCACACAATCCAAGAAAGGCAGCTGAGGTGAATGCAACTGAAATCAAGATATAATTAAGGGTCTTACCTTTGTTGATGTCTCATAATACATTGGGAATGAGTTAGGACAAGTTAGCTTGGAAGTAGAGATTTGGCCTGTGAAACCATGCTGTTTTTGGTCTCAGATGCAGGGCCAGAAGCTGGTGACACTCAGCAGGAAGAATGGGGTTCCAGCTGTTTTCTCTGATTCCAGATATTGGTTCTCTCAGTCTGCAACAGGAATTGTGGAACTATCTTCTAATTCCTTGGCTCTCTAACCTCTTTTAGTGCATCCTTCATTGAGAAGAGATCCAAGCCACATGACCCAGCATTTCTGGCACTGAAGTGCTAGGTGATGGGACCCATAGTGGGTAGCTATCCACAGCAATGCACTGCCAATGCACTAAGACTTGTGCTATGACTGATTTCATGTGAGACCAATTGCATGGTAAATCAGGACTTTCTGGAGATAAGTCTCTAGACTGATTTAACCATAAAGTTATATGGCCTAACTACCCATCAATAGTTGCCTCTTATTTTACTTTGAAAGTCATTGTATCCACATGAGGTATCTGGTACTCTGAGAAGGATCTACAAGGTCAGAACCCTAGGTTTTTAATCTGGCTTTGCCGTTTGTTCACCTGCTCATTGCTTCACTTGCTTACAAAAACTTTGCAAGTGTCAGATAGATACCAAGCACTAGGCTTGATGTTAGAAATAATGAAAGTGGATTAAAGACACAATATCTTTTTCATGGAGTGTTAAGTGCTGGAGATGGATAATAACAAAGATTTTATAAATAATTGCAAAGTTGTTATATTATCAGAGTAGTTATTTTGTGTCTTCTATTCTTGCACCTAGTTTTGTTTCAGTATGTAGACACAACTCTGGTTCAGTTAAGAAACTGTTATATCTCATATAATTGAATATTTACATTATAGAAGCTACACTTGTAATTTCTTAGCTAAGTCTTACAAATCATGCTGTGATTTTTTTACATTAGAAAACTCATGCAAACTAATGAAGAAGATGACTGTCCCTAGTAAACTCTAATAGGAAGTTTTGCCCATTGGAGTCTTTATCAAAAAGGAACTAGCAAAAATCTCATCCTTGTCATTTTTAATCCATGAAAGTAGCAGAACAAAGAGAAAGAGACAGGCAAAATAAATGGTAACTATGCATCTTTCAACAAAGTACAGCAAAAATGGGCCTCTGAACCAAAAACAAGGTTACTAGTGACACATTTTGGTCTTTTGCTATGTACTTTACGCACATTGGTCTTGGGGGATAAAACTTGTCTGAAGAATTGTTTTTCCAATTTTATGGTGTGCTGTTGGGTAGAAATTAATTAAGCACATAATTAACACATTACCATTTCACAGTTGGAGGGCAATGACCTCTTTAAAGCATTTGCATTATGCCGCTGGTAGAGTACAGAAAATGCAGTCAGTTCATTTGCTACCGAGTGTTGGGCAGAATTAGCCTGGGGATGTGAGCTGAGCAGAGTGGCTGAGATCTTTTAAGAGCACCCAAAGGGGGCTCCCCCCAAAACAGCCCTCTGATTTCAAACCTTTGAAGAACAGGGTAAGCTGACAGCATCTGGTAATCCTGGACTATTTCAGGCTACATCCATGGAATGTAAAATTTCTTGCTCTTTCTATGACTTAAAATATATCTGCCCTCCCCTCTCTTCTTTTCTTCTCACATTTAAATCTTATTGGCTGAGTACAGAGATCTAGGTTCAAGCTAAGTTTCGGAACTAGGATGACATTGTTCTCTTAACTTCTATTTATATCTCAAGATGTTTTGTATGTAACCTCAAAAAACTGAGGATGTAATCTTCAAATTTTTGAGGTCTAAATTGGCTTATAAATATGCTCAGGCATGAATCTTTATTATATGAAATTTTCCTCAATTAGTATTTTGATTAGAATTTGTGACTTATTTTCCCTAATTTGTTATTTTGAAAGAAATTATAAGTTTATATATAAAATTATACATATTGCTTTGTGATGAATCACTTGAGTATGTTGAAGATAATAACATGTTATCCTAAGTATTTCCACATAGATCTCCTGTAGAACATATATGTTTTATTACTAACCTCAAAGCAACTATCACACTGTAACAATTTGTAAACTTTGATTAAATATGACAATTTGATATACCATTATTATTTAATATGTAGTCTATATTTAAACTTGTCTAGTTGTTCCAGTAACTCTAAAACTTTTATCTTTTGAGGATCCCAACTAATAACTATGCACAGAATTTAGTTGTCATGTTTCTTTATTTCTTTATCTGGAAATCTAGAAGAGTATCCTAATCTTTTCTTTTTCAAATCATGGATATATATATATATATATATATATACACATATATATATATTAATGAAGACTAAAGGTCAATTGATTGATAGGATTAATAGGACTTGTCTGATTGCCCATGGATAGGTTCAGAGTAAATAATTTTGGTTAAGAATATTTTAGAAGTGACATTGGGTCCTTCTAACACATGATGTCAGAAAACACATAAATTAGTATGTCCAACTAGAAATGATATTAGTAATAATATGGTTAAGGTAGATTCTGCTAGCTTCAACTATTGTAGATATACCCTTTTTTCCTTTGTCATTATTAAGTATTTGTGAAGTGCTTCATTGAAATAATATGATCTTTTTATTTAAGTGTTTTGGACTCTTTTTAGCTATGAGAATAGTTTTTCTATTTTTTGTAGTTACATTTATCAATTCTTCCAGAATTCCTATCTCATATTTGCATCTCTTGGATTTATCTTTTGTATTTGTTAACGTGCCTCTATAATCTATATTTATCTTTTGGACTGAATTCTGAGAAAATATCTTGCCTTGATCTTCAGTTCATTCTTTTAGGCTCTCGAGATTTCCATTATGTTAGTTAATAATTGTGAAGAGTCAGAGATTTTTGCCAATTTGCAAGCCAGCCTGGTACAATTTTGTGGATAATGAAAGATGACATAAGTTCCTGGGTCAGTGACAAACATAGTTTATTACTCAGAGTAGTTCTCATGTCAGCATTTGTGCTAATCTCTTGTGTCCTAGTTACCACAAGACAATCCAAAAGGGCCAGATGGTATCTAAACACATAGTAGGCTGTGACAAGAGAAAATCACAAAGCTTAGGGTTCCAGTGCCTCATAGGGAGACATTTTTTTATTATATTGAATATTAAGCATCCGATTTCCTGGAGGGAGATATTCAATTTTTCCAAAGCATTTTACTAAATAAATGTCCTTGAAACAATAGTGCAAAATAAGAACAATCAGCTGGGTGCTGGTGGCTCATGGCTGTAATCCTAGCTACTAAAGAGCCTGAGATTTGAGGATCACAGTTCAAAGACAGTCAGGTAGGAAAATCTGTGATACTTATCTCCAATTAACCACCAAAACAAAACAAAAACCATCTATGGAGCTATTACTCAAGTGGTAGAGTACTAGTCTTGAGCAACAAAGTTCATAGACAGCTTCTAGGCCCTGAGTTCAAGCCATGCAACCAACCAACGAAACAAACCACAACAAAAAAAACCCCAAGAATAATCTTAACTTCACTTTGCAAGATTCACAAAATATAACAGACCAATGGAGAACTAGCTCTCGGTATTGGCTTTTTATTCAATTAATAGTATTTTGCATTTTCAATAAATCTAGATGTTTCCTGTGTGATGCAGCTATTGTTTCATAGATACAACAGACTAATAAATCTCTTTGCCTAAATCGATTGTATACATTTAATATTTTTCATCACCATAATATTGCTTATTCTATTGCTGGGTGTCTGTTGCCTTTGGTGTTTTCCTTTTATAATCGGTCTTTTATAAGAACATTGTTACTCCTGGATGTCTATTCAGACATGTCTTGACTACCTCTGTTTATATATCATCCTAACAGTACTTCTGATAAGAAGGATCTTGTTGTAGGCAATGTGTGTCGAAAGCTTTTGGGGGCAGTTATGTAGGAGTGCCCATCTGAAGGTTCTCTGCCTATTCTTTCTTTTTTTATTGTTAAAGGTCATGTGTAGAAGGGTTACAGTGGCATATGTCAGGTAATGAGTACATTTCTTTTAGAACAGTGTCACCCCTTTCTTGGCTTTCTCCCAATATTTTTCCTCCTGCCACCCCACTAAGTTGAGTAGCTCATTTTCTTTTCTTTTTGATGGCCGTGGGGCTTGAACTCAGGGCCTGGGTGCTCTGAGCTCTTTTGCTCAAGGCTCGTACTCTATGACTTTGAACCACAGCTCTACTTCTGGTTTTCTCATGGTTAATTGGAGATAAGAATCTCATGGACGTTTTGCCTGGGCTGGCTTTGAACCACAATCCTCAAATCCCAGCCTCCTGAATAGGTAGGATTACAGATGTGAGCCTGGCATATAGTTGATTTTCAACATAGTGTGCAGTAAGTATCACTGCTACATTGGTTGATCCTTTGCCCCAGGATTTCTGTGCTCCCCCTTGACTTTCCCACCAATGTATGGAAAACAAAACCAGCACAAAAAATGAGGGAAGGGGAAAGTTTGATTAAAAAAATGTACTTATTACCTTATTTATGTAACTGTAACTCCTTTATTTATTACCTTGACAATAAAAAAATAGTAACAGAGGAGAAAAAATAACAAAACCCCTCTTGTTTCCATTTCTTGGAGTTCATGTTAATAAGTATCATTTTATATGGTCATATTAACATTGCTATTGAGCCTTTGGGGTCTTCTCTTAGGAATAGTTGTCTTTGGCCTCACAGTGTGAATGTAGAGTCCTATATAATTTATCATGTCCAAATGTATTTTTTGTGTTTT